ATTGGATGAAATTATTATTAGCGTCATACTAACAAATTGGATGTTAGCACCCTAACCTCTACCCACATTTGAGTCAAAGTTTAACTCAATTTAATCATTATCAAATTAAAAAAATTGATTTATATATAACTTTCAAAATACATTTAGCTTTAATTAAAACTCTGATAGGATAAATTTGTATGCTGACATCTCCCAAAAAAATTATATGGTAGTTAATCAAAATTGTATTGAAGTCCGGGAGTTGCAACTCCCATCCTCCCTCTCAAAATGTCAAATGTTCTTTACAAACCATCAACATTAATATGTAATCAAACCAACTATAAATCTTAATATAGACCTACACTTTAAGTACCCTCAACTGAAAAGGGGTACAGCTTCTAGCAAAAACGAATAGTTCATTCAAACGTTTGAGTGAGATTTGGTTGGGGGAGCAATCTTCAGATCTTCATAAAGCCTAGTATTACGATCACACAACCGGTGCCTTCTAGGAATTGGGTCCCTTCTGGCAGGGTTCTTCCATCTTCAGCCTATGTCTTCTCTCTGATTTACTTTAATGAAATCATCACATTGTGATGCCAACATGATTGCATCATCTAGCACACCTTTAATGCCAAACAAAACTGATGGCCATAAGCCACAAGAATCTTCCAATAGCAGCTTTAGCGCCCTGCTTTGCCCACTGTTGCTCAGCCCAAATTAGAAGAGAGCTCCAGTCTGGGAGTTGCAGGCACACACATATACCTTGCAATACATTTTTTTAAAACTGAAATATTAAAAGGGCAAGTACCAAATAAATGACCTCTACTCTTCATATTACAACGACATAAAACACATCAACTATCACAAGCAATTCCCCAACAAATCAGTAAGTCTTTAGTTGAAATTTTGCCTAGTATAAACAACTACATGAGCACACTATGCTTTATGATAAAAGATTTACCCCAAACAACATGAAACCATGAGAAGGGGGAAGAGGAGTACGTATGGAGGACCATACCAGTTTTACTGAGTATTTAGGTAGGATATTACCATCCCAAGCAATTGCAGCTCCTGAGCTAGTAAGATTTAGTTGGACACTCTTTGTAAACTTATATATTTTCTTCTAGACCCAGGAACTAATAGAACTTGCAGGGAGCACCCAAATATTGCTCCCCTTATTCCTAGATATCTTCATCCACGCCACCCATAGTGAACCTGCTTCAACTAGCAGATTCCATAGATGTTTAATAATGCAATATTTGTTCCAGGTCTTAAAGTCCTTTATCCTCAGACCCCTTCTTTCTTCAAAAGGGCCACCTCAGAACAAGCAACGAGAGCGAAAATATTTTCCTTCCCTTGTCACCATCAGTCTCCCATAACAACTTATTGCAAATATCTTCAATCATTTTGAGAACTTTCAGAGGTAATATAAACACGAACATCGAAGACTGAAATGCACTTTCTATGCCATAGGATATCAAATTGAGCCTTCCAGCATATCTTAGTGTTCTTGCTTGCCATGTGTAGATACTTTAGCTATATTCTTAACTAGAACTTGATATTCATGAGTAGAAAGCTTGCCTGATAATAAAGGAACTCCTAGATAACTGACAGGTAATTTCCCTAATGGAAATTTTGTGAAAGCTTAAATAGACTGTTGTTCCTCCTTTGAAATGGCAGCATAGAACAATTGACACGCCAACATATTGCATTTAAGACGTGAGATCACATATAACCTATTCATCAACATTTGTATCCCAGAGACATCTCTAACTGAACCATTTGAAAGGACTAGAAGATCATATGAAAAGTAGGGATGAGTGATCTCTAGTCCATTATACTTCCGATGAAAAGAGATTTTCTCATTAACTACCTCTTTAGCTAATAAACAGGAAAAAACTTCCATGAAAATGACAAAGAGATTGGAGAACAATGAACCCCTTGCCTCAATCCCTTACCTTCTAGGAAGTAGCCATAGAGACCTCCACTGTAAGAAACAATCAACATGTTTGATGTAACACAAGCTTCAATCAAATGAATGAAATTCAAAAGCACTTTCATAGTTGTTATTACTCTAAACAAAAACTTCCAATCGGCAGAGTTGAATCCCTTCATCAAGTCGATCTTGAGGACACAATAGGAAGAAATACAAGCTTTATGATAGTCCTTTAACAATTCTGGTGTTATTAGAATATTATCACTAATTAGTCTACACTTAACAAAGCCAATTGACTTTTTCCAATGATTTTACAAAACTAATGATAATCTATTAGATAGAAGCTTAGATATTCCCTTATAGGTCACATTGCAACACAAAATTGGTCTAAAGTTCTGTATTCTATCTACCATTGGAAGTTTAGGTATAAGAGCAAGGACTGTTGAATTCACCTGCCTAGCCACAACGCCAGTTCTGAGGAAGTCCAACATTGTGTCTTTCACTTCTTTACCCACTACATCCTAGTCCAACTTGAAAAATATGATGTGTAACCATCCAACACAGTGGCCTTGTCGTTACCCATGCCAATAACACTTTTCTAATTTCCTCTTTTGTAATAGGTGCAATCTGGTATTCAACATCACTATCGTCAAGTTTATGCACCAACAACTATTCAAAGAAACCAACTGAAGTGTCTTGCACTATAGAATCAGTCATACCCAACAATCCCTTATAGAAGTGAAACAACCATTTGCCCCATTTCTTTTACTTCAGTGACCACTTCTCCATAATATTTAATAAATTTTTGAATAGTTTCGTATGGTTTCTAGCTTTACCATTTTGTGAAAGAAACTTGTATTAGCATCTCGCTCAGTAATCCATCTAATTCTCGACTTTTTCCTGTAAAATTCTCCTTAACACTCAACAACTCTCTACACAAAGCTTCTTGATCCAAAACATCAAGAGAATTATGCTATGAAGGATAAGATATAACACTCCTCTGCATCATTTCCATTTTGTCTTCGGCTTCCCTTGTTCTCAAAGATATCTAAAAAATAGGTCATATTCAAACTCTTCAGCTTTTCCTTAAGAACTCACAACTTACTATACAAAATGAAATAAGGCACCTCGGTACACTGTGCTTCCTTCAACATACTTAAGTATTGAAGGTGCAACCTCCAAAATGTGAAATTTGAATGGCTTTGGCAGTGTAGTAACTAAAGGATCAGCTTGAACAAAAAAGACCATAGTGATCCGCCACACTAGCTAGGAGTCAAGGTCTGAACTAAACTGTTTTTAAACTTAACCAACCAAGCTTTAGTTATCAGAGCACGATCAATTCTACGAGCAATAGGATTATTAGATTATGTGTTCCACTAGATGAACCATGAGCCAACAACACTCTTATAATCCATCAATTTCTATTCATTGTCCAAAATATGACATACTCCGACTCAACACTGGAGTATTAGAAGTTTTAGAGCTATCAATAATAGCACTAAAATCACCATGAAAAATTCTGAGGTTTTGACTAGATATCTTCTCAACTCCACATGAATTTACCCAATTTTCTCTTTCTGTATGGAATGGAATTTTTGAAGCACCACCACTACATGTGCTAGTATCTTTCATATTTTTCACCCACAAAAAAGGAGAACGAAACAAAATCTACTTGAATACGTATTTTTAGTGGGACTATGAAAAGGACAAAGCAAAATGTAGAGAGATGAAAATTGGAGCATTATTACTTTGTTTTAGCTTTCACATGGGCATAGTGTTATTATACCTTCTTCCCTCCATCCCACATAAAAACACCCACAATCATTCAAAAACCATTCCATTTATAAAATAAACTAAAAAAGAGAAGAAGAAGTGAACTTCCAAAATGCTAAGCATTGTTAATTTTTCCCCTCTCACAAAAAGTTCCCATGCAAGATAATTGAAGTTCGGTATATTTTTAATTGATTATTGTTCCAAAGTTTGAAACAAAGCATTCTGCATACGTTATATAATTCTCAAATTATCATTAGGCTATCTCATTTGGGGATTTTAGTCGGCCATATAGTATTTTTAGTAGTTGTGGTATCATATTTCGCTAAATTTACTGTTAATTGATTAGTTTCATTATTTAGTTGTTGTAATAATCAAACTCGGATAGAATAATTATTACCATTTCAATTTCCACAAATAGTCAAATAGACGATTACTTTTTGCGACTCAAACTCATATAATCTTCAAAACTTTGCATGTACTTCTTTATATGTTGTGAATTTAGATTTTGTTGGTCTAGTTTATATCTCTAGAATGAAGAACTAAGTCAATTTTATACTCCTTTTAGTGTAGCGAGGTTCGAGAAGATGCAAGGCAACATAAAAAATTATCTAAGAGTTAAACAATCGACACTCAGATGAACATGAAATAGTTTGTATATACGACAACTCGAAAATCAAAAATATTAATAAAATTACTCAATATGTATTTAGACATAATTAAGTAATCTCGAGATAAAATGTAGTATTTCGAAGAGATCAAATTGTTGTCTTATTATTAAAGAAAAGAGAAAGATAACCACTAAAATTAATGGGAGGGGTGAAACAATAATGGTATTAGGACCTTAATCACTCTCTTTCCTCTATAATGTTCCTTTTTTCTTCTACCCCACCCATTAATTAATCGAATCAATACTAACAATAACAATGACCAGAATTTACAAAAAGAGTTTCGCTGGCTAGCTCACTCGACCCGACTCGAACTCGGCCGATTCCGCCTCCACTCTGATTCGAACCCGGGACGACTCAGAATGGGTCAACAACTCGGCCCGACCACTCTGTTCTTTCAGCCATCTCCATTGGTAATTCTCCTCAAAGGAGAGCATACAGTAATCATATAACTATACACTCTTTCGTCTTCTCTGTGTGTCGCGTCAACTCGCTCGGTTGACTCAGCAGCAGCAACCCCAACTCATCAACTCAGTGAAACCCGTATAGCAAACCAAAAAATTATGCTAAACTAAACCCCGAGTCGACTTCCCGGGCCAGAAACCCAGAACCGATTCCGAATTCCACCCGACCCCAATTCCCCTGAATCACCAGATTGTTGGTTTCTCGGCGAGCAGAGGCCGGGACTCGGTCCACAATTCGGACGGCTTCCGTCGAATCGGGTTGCAATTCATCGACTTGAGATCCTCCAACCGGTTCGACCCGTCGGATCGGGAGATGGACCGGATGGCTTCCTCGAAAACCGACTCGTCGCAGGGGATGGTCAGGGGACCCTGGTTGGAGAACCCGTACTCTTCTTCGGCTTGGGTCAGGAGCTTGACGAAAACCGGGTGGTTCAGGTAAGTGGCCCGGACCACGAATCTCCGGCAGCTGGAGCCGACGCAGACGGCAATGTGGCCGGAAGGGACGTCGGAGGGGATTTGCTTGCTGCTGCTGGCAGAGGACACCCTGGCTTTGTTCCTCCACCGCCGCAGCATTTGGCGGAGCCTTACAATGTGGCGGATTTTGGCGCACTTGGAGAATCCGGCCGACATTTTTTTGATGTTGGAGAGAGAGAGAGAGATTCAATTTTCCAGAGAAAGTCCGGCGAGAAAATGTTTTCGCTGTTTGGTTGCAGTTGGGAGTGAGAGCGGAAGGAAGGAGGGGAATTGGGAAGGGAAGGAGGGGCGGGGGATTTATAGAAGATTGACTTACAAGATTGCCCCTAATTTTCGACATAATTACGAGTTTGCCATTACCTTTTTTTTTCTGTTTTCCTTTTTTTTATATATATTTTGGATTAGCAATGGGATATTGAATTAATAAATATATGAATACTGTGTCTTAATAATTTGGAACAGAAACATAAGCATATGATGTTGGAACAAAAATTAACATGAATTTTGTATTTTTATTATGTAGTGAGTGAGTGAGTGCATGGGGGGAAATATTTGTGCAGAGATTTGATACATTGAATTTGAGACTTAATGACGAAAATTAAGGAGGAACTTAGTGGGTTTGTTGTTGTTTGTGAGATTTATGGCAGTTTGACTAGATTTTGTTTGCTTTACTCTCTAGCTAGCTTGTGTAATTTGGGATAATTAATGGAAAACGAAACCGTTAATTTTCTGCTTGTTTGTTAATCCTGTTATGAAAGCACGAAACTTTGGTAACTTCCCCCAAAGCTCTAGCTTTTAGTAGCTCTACCGCCCTAATTAAACTCCCTAAATGGGTTTCTTATATCATAGTTTAAGTGTATGGCGTTATCAATCTTCGTGTTATCAGTAATTGCCTATTGAACATGCATGTTGATTAAAAATGGTTAAGTAGACTGAAATCTCAATTCCATCTAAAATGGTTTAGAGGTTATGACTTAGATATGTTTTTTAGAATTTTTTTTTTCGAGCTGCAAGGATCCTTGTCGGGTTGGATCCATATTATAAATATGAAATACTATTTCGGTACATTTACTGTTGTGAAATTCCATCAAATTCCTAAATGGATCCCACAAATTACTCTAATTGAAACTCTATCACCAACTAATTGATGTCTCTAAACAACGGACAATACAAGCTAAAGCTAGCTAGTAACATTTTTCATCTTATTAGTAACTATTAAACAGTAAGTAGAGAGGGTAGGTTAGGGGGCTTAATCAATTAGCTAGCATTAATCGCCATTATGTAGGCATGCATGTTAGATTGAATCTTGTATGTGAGGTTTCGATGCGGTGAAAAAAGGTGGTGAAAAAGTCTGATTAGGCGTGCAGGGCTACAGGCTAACAAAGTCTTTTGCGGTGCAACGCATAAATCAGTGCAATTAACAAACTAGAAGGTTACTTTTTTACTACTTATAGTCAACGTTTAATTAGTCGTTGTTGTAAATAATGGCGGTTACCGTCTTTATTTTGAGGGGAATCACTTTACTTGTCGGCGTTGTTGCATGCCAGGCCATTCACGGCTCAAGATAGGGTGCATAACCATGGGTTATGCACCCATCAATAACCAAATCTGGACCCTTCATTTAGAAAATCCAGATCTAAGGATGGAGAATTAAAGGCTATTTTTATTTTCACTATCTTTCTTAATTGACTCATATCTTTTTCGTTTTAACTCGGATTTTAATTTTTTTTGCACAGATGGAACGAGTTCACCGTGCTCTACAAAATGAGATCAATTTTCAATATTTTTTGAGAAAAAAAAAATTCTGGCCTCTCGGTACCAACTGCATACCATATGGTATCTTCTTCATTTTTAATTCGTTTTTGAAAACGTTTGCACAGCAGGGACGAGTTCATCATGATCTACTAGATCTACAAATTTCTGGGTGAACAAATTACAGGACCAAAAAATACCACACAATACCATACAATACCACCCTGGTACGGGGTGGTATTGTATGGTATCTTCTTCGTTTTTAATTCGTTTTTGAAAACGTTTGTACAGAAGGGACGAGTTCATCATGGTCTATTGGATCTACAAATTTCTGGATGAACAAATTACAGGACCAAAAAATACCACACAATACCATACAATACTACCCTGGTACGGGGTGGTATTGTGTGGTATACAATGTTAAAAGTCGTAAATTACAATTAATATACTTCTACTATCATGTATTCAACCATCCTACAGTATTGGTTTGTTCATACCACCATGGTACGTTTTTCAAAACATAGGTATGCTTTTATTTCAATACCAGTCAATACCATATGGTATAGGCTGGTAAAAAATGGCTCAATTTTTTTTTTGTTCGAAAAATATATTAAAGTGGATATCATTTTAAAGAGCACAATTAATCTGATCTAACTGTGCAAAAAAATTAAATTTCGACTTAAAATGAGCGAGAAATCGTCCGTCAAAGATTAAAGAGGGAAAAATTAAAAGCTTTCTATGAGAGAGAGGATGCTGATGTCATGCTGATGTGGACGGGTTACTCATGGTTACTCACCATAAGGTTACTGACCTGATCCATTCCCGCCATTCACCGTTTAACCCTAAACTTGGCTGGCCGATATGGAAAGGATTGATGGATAATCAAGAAGAGAATCGTAAAATAAATGTATTTTTGATAATTTATGTATGGCCATTGAATCATGTATGGGGAGTTTTTATAATCCATCAAATGACAAAAAATGAAAAATTGAACTTATAAACAGTAAATAAGTGCAATCTATCCTTCAAGGGTACTCCTTGTTGATAGGGCTAGCTATTTGGTCCGGGTTTTTTGGTTTTACCCGAAACCAGACCGTATAACCCGGACCGAGACCGGATAGTAAACAATCCAATCCAATCTTTGGACTTAGATTTGAGGTAAAAAACCGTTCGGGACCGGATCGAAAACTGAATAAAAACCGGATAAGAGAGCTCAACACCCAAAACTTAAGGGTAATTTGCATAAACGTTCACAAACCTTTGCACTTAGTACAAAACTTAACCAACTCCTCACCTTTTCAGGCCTTAGACCACTCAAATCCCCACAAGTTCAATATAAAATCAAGACCGAATTGGGACTGGACTGGGTCAAGACCGGACCGGATCAAGACCGGACTGTATCCAATCCAATCTTTGGTCCTTATATTTTCAAAAAACCCGGACTGGACCGGATCAATTTGGGCCAATTTAACCGGACCGGACCGTATAGCCACCCCTACTTGTTGATGTAAATGGTATTTATTTGGGCTAATACCACTGGGAAACCCGAACTATTAACTTTGTTTCATTTGTGTCCTAAAGTATTCGATATGACATTTGTGTCACAAACTATTTTTCCGTTAGAGTTGACTGGCGTTGACCGTTAGTTTTTAACAGAAAGTCCAGTCAGTGGTATGTCACAAATGTTTTTAACAGACCGTATAGCCACCCCTACTTGTTGACCGTATGTCCCTACCCATTTTAGTAAAAAATTTTAGCTATTACCGTCTCAATAAAAAAGACCCTAAAACACTGTCCTCCTTAAAATTAGTTATACTCAACAATCTACGCAAAACATTTGCGTCCTGTGTATTTGGTTTTGATTTCATGTTATCAATTACAAACTTCAAGAATACACAAGTTTAAGATATACATGCATATAACTTGAAATGCATAACTTTGCTATCAAAAGGGAAATGAAAATGACAAGGGCAGTGGTGTACTTGTGTTCCCCAAATCACCAAAGAACCATCATCACTAAATTAACAAACCACCACTCACTGTAGATAACGATGACTTTATGTCTTCATCTGGTTTTCATTTTCACTATAGTGGTTGCGAGCACAATCCATGTTTTTGCTTTGCTTAACTTTCATGGGATGCATCAAAATCAAGAGGCTAGCTAATCTGGGTTTTGTAGTTGACATTAGTGTGTGCTAATTAAACGTACGTAGATCCTTTTCCTCGACAGCTCAATCATATGCATATGTATCGGATAATGTAGTAGGAACAAGAACAGAAAATGACAGGAGAAAGCTGGGTAAGGATCTAGGTAGCTAGCTATAAAACCAGGGGCTGGATCATCAACTTGCACAATCTTCTTGCACGCCAAGCTGCCGACGGTCTCTTCCCTTGTGTACTAATTCGAGTGAGGATAATGAATGGGGAGGTTATTGATATTTGTAAAATGTCCAAAAAGGATTCATCTCTATGATGTATGCATGGTGTTTTTATTGAATTTCTCGTAGCACATTCATCATGTATTTATGTCGTTCAATTTCCTAACATAACATGTATTATTGACGGACGTAATTTGTTAAGCAAGCCAGCTTGATTGATTTGTTGGATGTGTACTTGAATTCTCGATCAACTTTCCTTCTAATTAAGTACATGTTTACCTCATCTTCAGGAGAGTATATCTCCTGATTAATGAGGTTTCTCTTTTCTTATTCGATAAGAATTTTTCTTTTGCTCATCGATATATTAGGTTTAACCTGCAGAACTACGAAACGAACAAGGTGAATGAGAACTCAAAAGCAAACAATCTCTTTTCGCGACCTTCTCAGCATCTATAATTATTTTATAAACCTCTCAATTTATTTTTTTTGTCAAACTTTGCATTCTTTATTTATTTATTTATGAATGAGGTTTCTTATTCATCAAGAAAGGGACAAAGTCCCTAACTGGCACCAATTAACAAACCGAGATTCAATACATCCAGAGTTTTCCAACCACAAAGCTAATACAACTCAGATAACATATAACAAACTAGACAAACATGAAACCTTCTGCTAAATGTAAAGCAGCAACAACAACCCCAACCTTTGCACACGTCATTCTGGTGAGGTGGACTGATTTCTGAAGTTTCTCGCAGAGTTGATCTGCTGTGAGGGATTCCCAAGCATAAAGCCTTCGGCATCGTTCCTCCAAAGCTCACTAACCATCGTCATCCATAACAGTTTGCCTACAACACCACATGAAGACTCCGAACTAAACTTTGCATTTTTATGGTTTGCATGAAGTGGGACATTGGTTCATCGATCGCGGTCCTCTTTTATTCTCCGTCCTTACTTATCGTAGATTATAGGACTTCATTAGCTTAATAGCTAATTTACAAGACTCTAACCAAATTGAAGGTTACTAGG